TAACTATGCACCAGGGTATGTTAACTCAGATTGTGTTTTTTTATTTTGGGGATTTTAAGAATGGAGACCCAAGTCGGTTATATTTCGTAAATTGTTTTAAACACGAGATCGTCATAAAAAATTTTCTTTCTATTTTAATTTATATCATATGGAAACAGGTTATCGTTTTTACGCTATTTCGTAAAATATAGATTTTGGCTCTGATGATTTCTGTCAAGGCGGCACAGACGAATGCTTTGTACAGGTTCATCGGGGTCGCAGGAGGTTAAGCCGACAACCATTTGTCTACAATCCAATACTCTTCCTTCCGCGGCAAAACTCCTTCGGTTTCTGGCGAGATCATTTCACGAATTCCTTCCAACCAAATTTTCCTCCGAAATGGAAAGTCGAATTGAGGCGGGGGAGGCTTGAGAAAGATTAATTATGTTTTTATTAATCGAAGGTATGAAAGCCAAGATGGTGTGGCCTTTTGTGTTGTCTCAATCGGACCGGAGACGTGGTACATTCCCAGACGTTTAGCCGGCATCGTAATCTGCATCATCAGTGAGTCACGTCATACTTTGCATCACACAAAACACGTCAGAGACAAGTGAAGCCGATCCTTTAACCAAACGTGGGCTCTGGTCTATTCACATTTCCTATATCCTCCTATCACACCTTAACTGTTACACTTGTTACCTTGCTTATTTCGATGTAGTGTGATGTGCTACACTTAGGCTACCTGCCACACTCATACACCACTCCTACCCTCTTTTCTATCTTGTTGAACATTCTCACATTGATGACTGTGCTCGGCCATCGTCTTCTTCCAAGGCGAAGTCTTCCAATGGCATTTCCTCCGCAGATGCGATCGGTCTTTAATAGAGCGGACGTTTAAATCAACACCACTACCAGTTTGATGTAAAATGACAATCCAGCATGGCTGAAGAAACTCTTTCACGATACGCTCCTCCATTGACTTGGACGACACGTCAGCTGGGGACCAGTACAAATGATGCTTACCATATTCTGCAAAGTCTTGGCTGCCGGTTGACCGGCCACCAAGCCGCTCCGAACTGAGGTCCGATTCACGTCGTGGGCCTTCAATAGATTCTCCCTCTCGGCCGTTGAGATGCACATGACCTGGAGGTTGACATGAAGAGCAACAAGCAGGAGAGCAGCAAAAAAGAGAACCAATTTCATTTCTCACAATTTTTCTGTATGACCACGGAGTGCAGGGTTCTATGTCCAGCATTTTATATTCTTTCTTCACATGTTCAACTCACCAAGCCTGCCGTTCGCGATCTGACTTCAGCGTGACCTCGGCAACAACCCTCCAGTCTACCCACCCACAGTAGGTCACTATTCTCGATAATCTCCAATGCCCCAATGTTTGTTTCTATTGTGTCAGAGAATTGGCGTTTCCAATTCTCCCGGCTGCTACAGCCTAAGGAAGACAATGAGTGCTGTATATGCGTAGTGAGTATTGCATGCACAGACCCCTTGTCCGAAGTCGCTTGCTATAGTAGTTATCATTATTCCCTGTGTCGGACCGTGGCATTGCTACATTATATTTATATATACATATATACTTATATATATATCACATACAGAATGAAATAGACTAGCCTTCTTGACTGTATATTAAGTTGTAACAGTGAAGGTGTGAAAGGAGGATATAGGAAATATGAATAGCCCAGGGAAGAAGGGGAGATACTACAACAGTTTAGCACACGTTTGCTCAAAGGATCGGTTGTTGTGTTGTGTTAATAATGGTGAGACTTACTGACTATGCCGACTACGATTCCGGCGAAAAGTCTGGAAATGTAACACGTCCATGGTCCGAGTTTGAAATGAATCATGCATGCAATGAACTCTTCCTACCAATATTAACAAGTTACGAAAACAAGGTCAAACAACTTCTGTTTTCAAAAAGTCATTAGCATTGCAAACAGATGTGTCCAAACTGAGACATCAAACAATAGTTTAATTAAATTTAGAGTTATTAAGCGTTGATACTAAGAGTAGATCCTCCAAGGCTGAACCTGAAATACAGTCTGAATAAAAATGACATTTTGAGGATTTAAATGACAATTTTATTATTACTACTACTACTACTAGTAAGTAGTACTTCCAATTATATTGAAGATATAAAGACCAGGAGAGTGTGGTTTTTTGTATGGTCCTTGTCTCCTTTCGTTCTATATAAGTTGTTTGACCTTGTTTTCGCAAAATTTTAATTATATATAGCCCAAGATGGTCAAATCTCCCTAGTTGTATGCATACAAGACTTGGGATTTTATGCATCGTG